CGCCATTTGATGGTGCATGGGGACCCAGCGTCCTGTGGAATGACTTCAACTACTCAAATGCCTTCATGGGTTTGTGTCATGAAGGAAAACTTCCACAGAGTCAACTTCACTGGAGTGTCGGTATTTACATTGCTAGATAGCACACTGTAAGATAAACAACTAGAGTTGTTACATGCAGATATACTTACAGCACTGAGCTTTTTAAACTTCAAAAGTGATATTTTTATGCCTTATATACACAGTAAAGTGTTAATGTTTACATGGGGGGTGACATGGGGAGGGGTGTCCTGGCAACCTGCCTTGGTTTCTTACTCCCCTGGATCGAAACCACTCATGTTCGCAATCAATAGCAGCTGGATTACTCTGTCAAAGCAAAGTTGTATATCTAGCTAAAATAACCAGGCATTAATTGTCTATGTTACCAGACTGAATGCAACACATTTTTGCTGACCAAACACGAGATAGCCACGAGTAGTTGTCTGTCTTTCTGCGCGCACTCACACAAATAGTGGGTTTGTCGGATTTGCATAAGTAGCATGGATTTATACAAACACAAAATGGAAACTCCCGAGAAATACTTACTTACTGATTGATGAAGATTAGAGCAAAATTGAACGTTAGTCTCAGGAATTCTTCAAAATCATCGATATTTAAATGCAACGTTCTATGGAAAAGGTCCCGCTCACAGTGTGTATAATTATACACATTATATTAGAGAGTCTATATAGGGATGACGCGAGTGAAATCTCACGTGATCCGCATACAAAACGTCGGTGAGAATCACTCCCTAGGCCTTCAAAACGTACTAGCAATAGTCTACGGGCCCATATCTACCTATACATGTTCCCCAAGACCTCATACACACCTTCAGTCGTCCACGCGAGAATTCGCTCATACGCGATTTCACGATTTCGTGTCATAATATTCTTCATCTTCTTCTTCTTTAGACCCGCTTTCTCCTTACTGGAACAAGTTGAAGCGCTGATTTTTTCACTGAACGTCTCCACTTTCGCCGGAGGTGTGCACGGACATCAAGCGATCGTTTCTTTCTTGCCGCTAGTCACTACCGTAGATCATGGAGCTCTTCCATGGTTGACACTGAACAACACCATTTGCTGCTAACTCAGCATCGGTGAGCCGCGCGCAATGCGCCTGGCAGGCCCTTGTGCCAGTACATGCGAGTTGCAGACCTGCCGAGGACTCTCAGCCTCTAGTGGCCTTCGGTAAGTAAGTGGCTGCACACTTTTCCACTGGCTAGCTTGGCACGAAGAGCAACTTTGCCAGGGTCTGTGCGCGAGCCTTGCGCGGGGCGCTCAATCTCAAATGGGCCTTCATTGTTCTGTCCCCACGCTCCTCTCCCCAGGTTGTACGCTGATTACCAAGCCTGCCGATGCAACCACAACCATCGATGTGCATAATCTAATTACATTTTTGTTGACATGAGGTGAATGCGGTATCGAGCCCCTGCTGAGGCACTAGCAGCATTAATTAGCTACTACTTTCAACAGTTACATTTCCTGTCTATGGTAAGCTATCTACCACAGCCATGAACATCAGAGTGACTGTAAACATAACTGCGGTGGGTTGTCATAAGGTGGATATACGGATGGCTCTTGAAGCAACCAAAACGAAGAAACACTGGGTCATACATAGTCAAAAGCGACATGACACCATCCCTATGAATCTTTGCTTTATTGTTTATAAGCAAGTTTAAATAATATCGAATAAAGGTATCATCGGATGTGTCATGTAGATTATATTATAGCTTTGGTGCAACTGTTTCTTTCTGTGTATGACCATCTCTTGTTTCTTCTGTGTGCTTCAAGCCACTCCGATATCCCCGCTTTCATTTTGAAGCAATGGATTTTTGTCGCACTTGTATAATGAATTGGAGGCTTTTCTCAACATTCACAATCTATGATCAAATTTGGGCTGCATGCACGTGAACTGAGCAATACTGTACTAAACAACATGGCGCGCTCTGGGAAAAGTATATAAGTATCATATACCATGTCGCGCTAATGGTACCTGTTTCCCGAGCGGTCACATATCCACACTCTTGAAACTGGTTTCTACATTTACAAACCTCTTGTGCCCATAATAACACATTTCCGCGTACAACAGTCTGTTTTGATATGATTGGCGAGTGAAGTAAGCTTACCTAGTCGTATGTGCTAATTTTCATAATTGCAATAGCTATCAATTATATTAATGTGACGGCTCTGTCGGGCACTGCACATACCGTAAAATTTTACGTATTCGCATAACACGCACAATATATTGAACTGTTCGTGCTCCCTCGCCAACAACGCGGTGCATTCCTCTTGATGAGACAGATATCAGAAAATGGTTGGTGGTTGTTAGCAGCAATGATGACTTGATAACAGTTAACCTGCACACAGCATAGTATGATGATGCTGAGAAGTTACGGATTGCTTTTTGACTGTTCCTTTGACAAGGGCTGTAACACATTTCAGCTACTCTGCTTTAGGGTCCTGTTCGGTATGATGAGAATGGAACTATTGTCTACACTCGAATCAGACTGTCGCGGTACCGAGCGGAAAATGGTATAAAGGTCTTGTCATTGGAATTCCTGTTTTTGAAAGCATAAACATTCTTTTGTCAGACCTGGTGTCATTGAAAAGATTTGGATACTTGGACAGAGACTCAAACTTTGCTCTTGTATACGAAAGTGGAGAGAGTGACAAAACTCTGTATCCAGGTAACTACTCAATATGACATGCATTAACTTGTATGTCATTCGAACTAGCTTAAATGTTGCGTATAAGTATAATAATAGCAGATATTTAGCATTCCTAGCATGACTACTTACAATATTGAACTGTATAGAGTTAGGTGCATCCTTTGTCATTTTTGCAGATGGTTTTCCGCCTGATGGAACTCCTATGATTGTAGTTCAAGGTCCTCATAAGGCACTTGTTGTAGTTTACTACACTCTGGCAGTCTGTGGAATCATAGGATCCATTATATTTCTGATATTAAATTTCCTTTATCGCAACACAAAGTAAGATAACCTACTGACTAAGGTACTTTTAATATTAAAATGTGTAACTACGGCATTTTCTTTTCCCAGAGTTATTTGTCTTACAACGCCACTTCTCAGTTACATCATCATTAGTGGGGCCTTACTGATGTATTTGTCTGTATTTCTCGGTTTACTGCCATCTACAAAGAAAGCTGTGATACGAATGCAATGCAATGTGAGCTATTATACGGTACAACATACACTGAAGGAAAGCCTTCTACATATACACAGATCCATGTATGGCTGTATGGAGTTGGGTATCTCCTTGTTTACGGAACACTACTGGCAAAGATGTGGAGAGTCTACCAGATATTTCACAACCCAAATTCAAACAAAACGGTATATAGCTGGGTGTTTCATACAACACTCTAATTACGCAGTGTTAGTATATATGAGATTTCCTGTTTTAGATTCTCAAGACGTGGCATCTCATGTGTGTGGTGTTCTCTGTGACTGGTGTTGGAGTGCTGCTCATTCTCGCCAGATCTGTGGCCCAGGCACTCACTGATCCTGACTTGGTGACAAACAAGGAAAATCCTGAAGGAGCAACAGTAAGTATTAGCCGTTGGTTTACTACTAACTGCACTAGTAATGAGGCTGCGATGACATGTTCAAAATACTTATGTGGCAGCCAGGCCATTGAGCATGCTACCTGCAGGTATATAACAGCAGTACTGCTATCAATGCCAGTGCTTACTCGCTCACATACAACTGAAGGACTATTTACCTGAGGGTCAGTAGTCAATGTTCAACCTATTCATTATTTTGCAGGGTTCAGATATTCAGAAATTCAACAAAGTATGGCAGTGTTATGGCTCTGGATCTGCTCCATTTTATCTCGACCTGGTGATATTTGTGTACCTTGGACTGCTGCAGGTGGTGGGCATCATCCTAGCCTTCCAGACCCGCAAAGTCAAAATCCCTATCCTGAATGACTCAAAGTCGGTGACAGCTCTCATATACATCTCCATTATTGTACTGGTGGTGATAGTCCTTATCTCCTTCATCTTGAATGAATATGTCAATGTCAGAGCTGTCATGTTCTACGGGGGAATCTTACTACTGGCTACAATCTTCCTTGCACTGATTTTCATTCCAAAGGTTTAATGCTTACTATAGACCTATATAGTCTTCTCTAACACATTTATAATTACATGTATCACATTAAGTCTAGCTGTGTAAGTCCATGAGGATTCTGGCACAACTGGCATCAATTGTACATTTCGCCTATAACAATAAGTATAATACATAAAACACTGCACAAATCCTCTCAGTAGCTACATCCCATAGTGCACAGCTGCACTATTGCTCAGATGATATGTTGAGGACCAGGAACTATATTAGACCATTGCCTTGAGGGAGTTTCCCCATGAATACAGTTTTCTCACACACACTGGGGTAGCTATTTCAAGCCTGTTCTGTGTTTTAGGAGCTGGTGAATAATAAATCTTTTACCTTGTCTCACAGATCTTTTGTTTTTGTTGTCAGGTCATAAGCTTGCATCGGGATCCAGCGGGCAATGAGATCTTCAGTGATATTGATGATCCTTCCAAACGTGCAGAGAAGTGTGAGATAAAAGGCAATCATAACAACATGGCTGTGGGCCTGGCCGAGCTAACCGACTCTGAGATGGTCCCAAGTGGCTGAAGGACACTTTGAATGACAAGAACAGGAGGACAGCTGAGCTGGAGTCTGTCGTAACACCACTACCTAGATTTGTAGAGCTAGCTATAAACAAGCTGCTGTGTCATTGTAAATTGACTGCTGTATGATTTTGGTAGCTAACTTAGTGTAGTTTGTTACTTGTAATGTTGCCCAAGATATGCTTTGCCATAGAGCCACCACGTAGCTCTCCCCTATAAAACCCTCTGAATATTATTAGCTATTTTGCAACAGTTTGCATAAGATTTTGTGACTGTGTAGGCCAAAACCGGGTTGTAATATGAATTTGTTGTTGTCTATTATTATAGGGTTTATCAGGACATAGACGCTGCAACTTGTATTTTTTATCCACTCCCATATACACCAGATCTGCATCAAAATGATCTTCTATCTATGGTTACTTAATGAAATGATCAGGTTGATATCAAGTAACTGTCAGGTGACATTATGATGGCTACTGAATCAAGGCCTTTCAAAAAGCACTGAAGTGCAAACCCTCTGCGCACTGTGACGCGCACGCGTAAGTAAACGCATGCGCCGTACCACTAATTGATGGGCTGGGTTTAGTTTTAGCTGTTACTCGTGGTCTCTTGCCAGCTCGCGCAGAGTCTGACGCAGGCTAACTACAGTACTAGATGCGAGAGGCGATATATACACGCCCTGCGTTGCATCTGCTGGTGCCTCCGAGGTATGCAGAGCACGCGGATCGATCAGACCGCGGTAAGCCTTCCCGGCAGTTGCGTATTTGCCTATTGCCTTTTTCGCGCTCTAGCTCTGCAACGGAGCATTTTCAGAGAAAACCCCACACATTTCTGACCTTCGTCGCCCGTTGGGTAGATGGTATCGTTTCTGGGACGAACAGACATTCGAGAGGTTAGATGAGACGCGGAAACCTTCGTTGCGCATGCGCGCCGAGGGTAATAAGACTAATTCCTGTAGGTGCAATCTTAGTGTAAGGTAAGTGTTGGTATTATTAGTCGGGGGTATTATGGGTAAATATTCCTGCCAAACGCTGTGTAACTGCTTCCTACCGTCGGGACGTTAGCCCAGCAAATCGTCGCCACATTTTAACACGTGCTGCGGGTTACTTTTGCGACAAAATAGCCAAAAGTCAAGAGGTCACAATGATTGCATCACTGACTCAAAGGGTTTAATTTGGGGGAGGTTTTAAATAAATGTTTTGGTCAAGTTATGATTAATTTGTGGTTTTTTGCTTTTTTGTATAATTATATTGTGAAACACGACTGGGCAACTGTTTACTTTATCAAAGAATACGTTTTAAGTCGACTTATAATACCATCACTGACTCATAATTGCTGCTTTTAGAGGGTTATAAAACAAATATTTTGCTTTACTACTGTGAATATATTCTGAAACCGATTTGATTTTTAGAATCGCCATGTCCTGATAGTCATGTAGCTAACATAAATTTCACTTTAATTCACCGGTATTTGTAGGAAAAACACAACTTAATCAATCACTTGAGCACAATGTCTTAATCCTTATCACAGTATTATGGGTACATGTTCAATCATAGTGTTTACCACAAATACATGTATTGCCATTGCATAGTGCATAAATGTTAAAAAAAAGAAAGTTTAGGTGGCTCATAATACTCATATCAAATTCAGAATGGCTATGACAAGCTCCCTTACGACTTGAACAAGGGTGCTGGGGGCAATTATATTTACCTTTGCTATACGAAGGAGGAGTTTGCCCTACCTGTGATGGATTTGAATGTCGTGCAGGGATCCAGCCCCCATGTCTACCCTACATCTGAATGGATCAGGATCAACCAGGATTGCTCAGAGGGTGCTGGAGGGGATTAGCTACACTGATAGTGTTCAAATAATATTGAATTATCACCAGTATAATAGTCAACTCTGTGTTAGCTATTTCTGTGAGTGCTGGCAATATGTAGTAAGAGTATTATACCAGTCAATAGGATATCAGTGACGCACAGTTGTTTGCATTCACAGTGACCATAATGTTAAATGAAAAGCACTGAAGTGCAAACCCTCGGCGCACTGTGACGCGCGCGCGTAATGCGCCGTACCACTAATTGATGGGCTGGGTTTAGTTTTAGCTGTTACTCGTGGTCTCTTGCCAGCTCGCGCAGAGTCTGACACGGGAAACTACACTACTAGATAGCATGAAAGAGGCGATACACGCCCTGCGTTGCATCTTCTGGTGCCTCCGAGGTATATACGCAGAGCACGCGGATCGATCATGCCGTAGTAAGCCGTTGTGTATTTGCATATTGGCTTTTTCCCGCTCTAGCTTAGCAAAGGAGCGTTTTCAGAGAAAACCGCACATATTTTCTAACCTTCATTGCCCGTTCAGTAGGTGGTATCCTTTGTGAGACGAACGAACACTCGAGAAGTGAGATGACGAGTAAGGTAAGGGCGGGTAATTCGGAATAGCGGGTAATTCGGAATAACTCACGTTGCGGCGGCTATTTTATAAAATAGTTTGGTCAGGGCAGGCTGTCATTGTTATTACAGGTAGAGTTGGATGTTAGCTTATACATACCTGTGTTGCGCTCTATGTCCGTCGTGTCTCTTGCGTGAAGAGAGCTCAAACTTTCAGTTGACTACTCACTTCAAAGGTGATAGGCGATCGGAAACTTCGATAGGCTGCTAGAAGTAGAGTAGACTACGGCGATCTAAAACAGCTAAAGCAGACTACAATGAAGGCTAAACACATCGAACATGCAAGCTGCCCCACAGCCAGTTTCAGTGTAGCATACCAAGAGGTCAAATTTTTGCGACGCGCGCAGCTAGCTCTGGCGCGCGCACACCTATGCGAGTAACGGTATAGAAAACAGTAATCACGACGGCTATAATCCTTTGTTTATGTGCAAAATAGTGTATTTACCTGGGTATGTACGCTGAAAGCCATACAGGTTAGACGTATCGCTGCTGTAGCTCGCTCTCTACTATTCCGAATTACCGGCGCATGCGCATAACGGACGGGACCGAGAAATCGGTCCCGCGCGGACAAACGAAACGATGTAAATTTGTTCTGTTTTCGGCATGACAGAGAGTAAAGGTTAGTGTATCTCTGCGTTGGTTATAGTATTCACTGGTGTTGATCTACAATCAAAGAAGAACGTTTTTCTGAAGTTCATTCCGAATTACCCTCCCTTACCTTAACAGACAGACACACACACAGACCCAAGTACCGTAACCCTCGCTGCGCATGCGCGCCGAGGGTTAATAAGGGTAATGCCTGCATACATTCCTCAAAGCACCTAGTAGGGCTCCTAGGGTGCCCTATGATATCATTCCATGTTAATTATGTCCCATGAACAAGAAACTGAAATTCCACTTCCTAGTGACCTCTGACAAGTAAAAGTCCCTAATAGGGAATAGCCACTTAGAGGACATTACTGGGAAAAGTTGTAAGAGTGTAATTTCATCTGGCTTCCTATAAAGAGGATAGAGGCTGTACTTCCTGCTGCATCATTTATCATGAATACAATGGCAGGCAGCTTTTAGATATTAGTGATGCACATCAGGAAAGGAACGGCTCACAGTGTGCAGTAAAATTTCCCACGGGTATTCACAAAGCCTCCCATTGACTTTACTACCAAGCAATCATCCACCTACGTAAAGGTTTCAAAATAGCGGCAGCAACATGTTTCAGACCTTTACCTTTCTTCACCCATATGCAGCCTGCATTGTGCATTCGAACAATATGTCTTGAATGTTTGCAAAACTGTTGTTGCCAAACAATGAGCCAGGAACAGGGTTATTTAGCCAAATCACCCTAAGGACAGTGATATCCCTACGGACTTATTTATAGCAAGGTTTTGACCCTTAGGACAGATTTGCAGTCCCCTAGCTTCCTTATCCTTGGGGACACATATTTTCCCTGAGGGTTAATAATACTTGCATAATACTTGCATCTTTCTTGTACTTACCCTTGCCCTAGTCCTAGGGGTGTATTATACTTTGCACCTTCCTAGCCCTGAGGGTGAGTGACACACTAATCAAGAAGATGCAACACAGGGCATGTATCACCTCTCGAATGCTATCTAGTAGTGTAGTTAGCCCGAGTCAGACTCGGCGCGAGCTGGCAAGAGACCACGAGTACAGTTAAAACTAAACCCAGCCCATCAAATAGTGATACCGCGCATGCATTTACTCACGCGTGTGCGTCACTATGCGCCGACGGTTTGCACTTCAGTGCTTTCCATTTAACCCTTCAGCATTATGAGGGTAGATTCACCTATAGAATGTTATGAAAATTTCAGTCAGTGAGAAGTGTTTGGTGGTGTGATGTGATGTGATGTGATGTGATGTTTTTCTAATCATTCTCCTACATTTGTCCTGTGTTTCTACCTTGTTTCTATTATTAAAAATGTCCGGGTGTTTCTCTATTATCTCCATGCACTTCTTTCTGGTTGGTACAGTCTGGTATGCCATTATGTCTATCTCTTCCTTCAATATCTTTTCCTCCTCCTTGGACCATCGCCGTCTTTGTGGATGATGCGGTACAGCATCCCCTCTCTTTTTATGATATTCATTCAAATGATTCCATAGTCTCTTCACTCTTTTGCTGCATTCAGGTACAGGACAGAGCTTCTGACTTGGCTCTCCACCATCAAGAGGACTGTCTGGTGGTATTGGCAGGCCTGCAGGTTGCACTCCCCTTTTCTCTTCGGTCAAAAACGCTGCCAACTGTGAATCTGAAAACACATCGTAAGTGTTGAACATATATATAAGAACATTGAATGTACTCATACCTGTGTAGTTCCCTTTACTCTTATGGAACTGGAATAAGTGATTCCATAGCTTTTTCACTGATCTTCTACACCCAGGGACTGGGCAGAGCTTCCTGCCTGCTGGCTGTTGCATCTGGGAGGGGAGGGAAGGAGAGTCTGCTGTCAAATCCTTCCGTATCCGTATGGAATGATGATCCCTAAACTCTTTCTCTCTTTTATACCCCAAGACAACCCCATCCTCTTTGACCTTCCAATCCCTGAAATCCCTCACACCTCCGCCCTAATGGAGGTTTACAATCCCACAAGAAGGCTGCCCTTCCCCCGAGGGATGCTTACTATCCCTCATTCTCACTTTCTAATCCCTTTTATCCCTAACGGTTCAGCCCTAACGAAAGCTTAAAACCCACAATGAAGGCTTACTATCCCTCAGAGAGTAGGTGCTACCAGTTTAACACCACCCCCAATGGTTTTCAGTCCTGCTAAGGAAAGTTTAACACCCACAATGAAGGCTTACTATCCTCAGAGGGATGCTTACTATCCCTCAGAGAGTAGGTGCTACCTATTTAACACCACCCCAATGGTTTGCAGTCCTGAGGGTAAAGGCCCAAGGGATTGTGCTCAATATCCCTTACCGTCCAGCAGCTGGTACCATTAGGGACTGCAGCTTTCCTTGTGCATTCCAACAATACATCTTGGCACACCTTTCTGTTGGGGACATTCATGCCCTGACGAATAACCATTTCTTCAGTTAAATTCTTCTCCTCCTCTACCTGAGTCCACCTTTTCCCCTAACCCTCGGGGTTATCATGTGTCATAAATATATATATACATTATACATACGTACCTATGCTTAGGGTTGACCTTTGTTGTATATATTATGGCACCATACAGACAGTTGTCACCAATAAAAGATGGAACAGAAAGTGAAGACTTATGAGGCATGGTGGTGATAAAAGAGCAGAGGGGAGCAGTGGACAATATGGAACATTCTCTATGGTATCCACATGTGCAACACAATGTGCAATACCAGAAAATGAGAATTTCTGGGAAGATACCATATCTTCCGCAGAATTTTTTTAAAACCAATTTCAAGCTGTCTTATTTCTTTTGCACCCAGAGACCAGATGGAGGCACCGTAGAGAGACAGGCAGTATATAGGACTTGATTAAAAATGTCTTCAAAAAAGGATCCACACGAAGAAATGTACATAAAACCGAGTTAGCTTTACGAATCAAGTCCTTTAAAACTCAAGCAATATCTTCAGAATCATCCAGGGTGCTAGTGAGGATATGACCCAAGTGCGTGACTTTACTGGAGTACTGAAGAGCAACATTATTGAACAATAATATAGTGGCAGATTGAGGATGTATAGATGGAAGATGAAACAAATTAGCTGTGTTATATTAGCATTGAATTCCAGTTTCCTCTTTGTTGCAAATTAGTTGCAGATCATGTCTAACATAATCTGTAGGGATGACGCACAAGGTGCTAACAAACACAATGTCGTCTGCGTAGCAAAACGCACCAGCAAAAACAGAACCCCAAAAACAGCCAACACCACTCCTACTCAATTCCAGCAAGAAACCATCTACATATTTTACCGATTGTAACAGAGGTGACAGAATACTTCTGTGGCGAACACTATTAGACACAGAAAATGGAACAGACAAACTTGGTCTCACAAACAAGACCTTATTTCCTTGTATGACAGGTTGGCTTGGGAGACTAAGAAGATTATCGTTGTTTCGAGGGCAGTTTTTTTCTCTTCCTTGTCCTGAATGCGTTTGCCTTGCACTGACACCCACTGGATATTATTAGGTTCATTTAGTATGAGAGCTAATGCATGCTGTCATGGTGGACACATATTGCTGTCTACTATTCCATGTGTCCAGATGGGAGTGGCTCACCTGTTATAGCCAATATAGATTGCTCTTTTATTTACATCTATCATTTGTCATGGCTGTATTATGCCACAATGTCTTCGTGACTCTGTCATTGTTCCCATACCAGAAGGGAACAAGGATGCTTCTTGTATAAGTTCTAACTTTCGTCCAGTTGCTCTATCTTCAAATCTTAGTAAAGTTCTTGAGTGACTCATAACTCTGCTTTTTCTACCCAATAAACCAGCAGGCATGGCACATAAAATAAATGGCACCTCAAATACTCTGTGCTATAGTACAACAATCCATGTGTCCATTACACAATGCAATGTGAGAGCAGTGTTGCATGAGAGAGTGGCCCCTGACCTCGACCACGAGGGTCTGGAAGTGGTGAGGGGAAGGGATCATGTGAGGATAGGGAGAACTCTGCTCTGACACCTCGTCAATGTCAAAGTGCTGGGCTCCAGCCAATCTCTCACCCTAACTCCTTGTTACCTGAGACCTCCATGTCTGTTTGGCGGAAGTCAGCAGCAGTCTCGTCACCTGGTCCTGGACCTTCATCTGGTGGTGGTACTGCTTCTGTTGAGAAATCACCTCCTCAGTATGTTACTATACCCATTGTTGCATGGTGAACTCCATTACCACCATACCACCATCCAGACCCAAGACAGAGGAGTCCCGTCTCTCGCCAGAAGAGGATTACCCCTTCGTTGAGAAGCCATCAGAGGATTTCTTCTGTCCGGTGACATTGGGTCTACTGCTCCAGCCTCAGCTCACGTCATGCTGTGGTAAACATCTCTCAGAGGAGTCTACCACCAGAATACAGAGAGAGGGAGGACCATGTCCACTCTGCAAGTCTCCTGACTGGAGTACCGTGTTGGACAAACACGTCCGTCGACAAGTGAAGGAGCTTCAAGTGTTCTGTCGTCACAAGGGGAAAGGCTGTTGGTGGAAATGAGAGTTGTCTGACTTTACACAACATTTCCAGTGTTGCCAGTTCAGGTATTTATGTCAATAACCTTTTAGACAACTTTGAGTAGTAGCTACCTTTCCCTACAGATATACAGACACATATACCACAGTTTCCCAGGGTCTCTGGACTGGACTGTGTCTGATCGCTACCTGACTCTCCCCCCTCTGACAAGATCCTAGCCACATACATCTCGATAGACGCTACTGGACAGGTAATAATATTTATCACTAATGTTGGTGTGTGCAGTCAGTTTGTGTTTTGAGTCGCCCCATTCTACATATTCCTGGGATATGTGTGTTGTTTGCCTTTAAGTCTTGACCTGGAACCAGCTTGTGGATGTTTCTGAAACTATATCCTTTACTCGAAATAGTACTCATGTGTACCAATGTCTCTATAAGCAGTTGTGAATGTGAAAGCTTTGTGAGGTATTATGTGCTACGATGTACTCACATTTTACTACAGTACGTGTATTGTGCTTGCTGTACCAACAAACTTTTTTGTTGGTTGGTCACTTGGACTGTTAACAAAAGGGGTACAAATTTATACTTAATGCTCCTTATAGTTCTTTGACTGAGGCTGCTTCTTCGATTTGGTCTGTCAGAAAACACTGTGCATAAAGAAATGGATTGCTTCCTACCTTTTTACAGGGCGGTTGGGTAGTAATGGCAACCATGCATGGCGGTCTTCCCACGAATCCCCTCACTAAGGGTAAGGTGATCTTGCTGTGGCTTGTTCAAAGGAATGCCACACTGCTTCTGATTTCACATGTGTGTGTATGAAAACTATGAGGTAGAAAGGCAAATAGGCACAGCAACTACACCCAGGACAGCTCTTTTTTCCAAGGAAAAAGGAAGAGCTGCCCTGGATGGGATTCGACTAGGCGAGTGCTCTACCAACTGAGCTACTAGGGCAACTCAGCTGATAGGGGTTCGAATCTACAACACAAGGCAAACCTCAAACCACTGTGCTATACTCTCATTCAGTATGTAGGAGCAGACCGGGGTATATGGACAGTTTTGGCTAGCAGGAGCATGCAAACTGTTGTGAGTCACTGCTTGATGAGTCTATAGACACCGATTTGATTGTGGTTGACAGGCAAATCTGTATATATACCTGTCTGTTGTCACCAGTATAATAGTAGTAGAATAGTGTGCACTGTGCTCTGGTCTAGGCTGCATGTATCCACATAATCATATAGAACTTGTCTCTACATTTTCTATAATGAATAGTGTCACATTTCATTCTGTCGCGCTTTTTGTGGTTTTCAGAATGTCAGATGTAAGACCGGAACTCTCTCTTGTCATCCCTCCTCGGTATCCGACCTTCCCCAGTGGTCCTTTGATGGCTCCAGGTACTATACATATAGAATGAATGAACGCATTATTGGCGAGCGAGCATGAACATATAAAATTTTTTCCACGCTTATATATTTTCCTTTTTTCACACACATTTAGAACATTATGGTATGTGCAGTACCCTGTGGCCGTGACACAACAAACTTTATTTTGCATTCACTCTAAGTTTGACTATCTTGTGTCTCTCTTGCATTCAGACCCCTAAATATACAAGCTCGTCTTGCACATTTGCCATGACATCACTCCCTTTCTCCTCCTTCCCCCACTTTGATCATATCCTCACAGCACTTCCCAGGCCCAAGGTCATGACAGTGATGTTCTCCTGAAACCAGTCAACTTCTATAGAGACCCTTTCTTCCTGGTCTGCATTAACCTCTATAACTAGTTTGGTGATCAATCTCAGCATCCTAATGTATGAGAAAAGGCAAACATTGATGGTCTCATGCAACGTAAATGTATGGGTATGTTGTGTCTGCATGTTTCATGCAATAGACAACACTCCTTTTGTCATGCAACATGTTTCATGGGCTATCATATACCCAGATATGGTTGCATTAGATTTTTGTTATGTGCAATGTACATATTGGCTTTAGTCGGCATATCATTTGTATGTAGGCAATTGTTCTAGCATTACTTCAGAGGATTATCTCTCTATTGATGTTATTGCTAAGCTATGGACTAGAGACTTCCTCAAACCACTGTGATGCAGGGGAAAGCAGACCTACAGGGAAGTTTCGAATGAGATCGGGGTGGTTCGACCACACCAAACCTCTGTGATGCAGGGGGAAGTTGTTCTGTGGTTGTTGTGCAGGGTAACAGTATCCTAGTGTGTGAGACGTATGCCAAGGACGGGACACCTCACACTACAAACAAGAGATACTCTTGTGACAGGATAATGGAGAGGTGTGTACTACTGGAGGTCACCATATTACGTGTTGCAACTTTGTTGCACACAACTTCAAATGTAAGACGTGTGCATGCAACATGCATGTTGCGAGCATTAGAAATTCTTTGAAATTCATGTGACTTTTCTGCATGGCCTATCACACCCACACGTTTGAAGTTAGCTGCAATTTTGACAATGTAGCATCGTGTATTATGGTTTTACGTAACTTAAGCCACAAACAAAGGGGAACGAATAAGCAAACACTACATTCTCCTCATTACACATGGAACAATGCCAGTTGGTAGAGCGCTCGCCTAATGTCGTGGGTTCAAAGGAAGCTCTTCCTTTTCCCTTGGAAAAAAAGAGTTGTCCTGGGTGTAGTTGACTTGTTTGCTTTGCCCTTGCCTTTCTATGTCTCACCTTTTTGTTAACACGTGGAAGTAAAACACCCACACACTCTCTACAAACTATTTAAACCTCATAGCATGTGCGTAGTTTACTTTACGTGAAAACTGAAAGCAACACATATTTGTTGAGGCGATCACAACAAGTGAAAACTTTCAGGGACTTATGAACAAAATTTGTTACAGTAGACATAATGAAGTATACAAGCAGCAATTCAGACCACTACATACTCATGTAGGCTCAGCCTTACTCTGTATATACTGTCACAAAAATGATTGAAAGCACACATTTTTGGTGAGCAATTGCAACAACTTTCAGGGACTTACATGAACAACTTGTTACAGTATGATACAATGCAGTATACAATCAGCAATTCAGACCACTACATACGTAGGCTCAGCCTCACTCTCCAGTTATAATATACAGTTCTACTAATGTACGTATCTGTGTGTCAGAGTAATGGATGAGGAGAACTCAGAGTTTGTCATAGAGCAGGAGTACACTCTACTGGACTACGATGGCCACCCGTTTTGCTGGCCAAAGTCGGCCTACCCTGGACAGCAAGGTCCCTACTACTGTGCCGTGGGAGCCACCAACGTCTATGGGAGACAGGTCTGCCCCACCCCACATTGACATACACAGACACAGTGGCGGATCCAGGGGGGTCCGCGGAACCCCCCGTTTTGTCGTTTTGCGTGCATGCGGAGCCGGCGTCATGTGCACACACAAGTGCGGGCGAAAACGTTCTGGACAGCGGAATTCCCCTTTTCAAAATACTAGATCCGCCACTGACACACACACACTGTGATGTACATATCAACCTGTAGTGGATCAAGTGAGCACCCAAATCAGTGTTTCCTACAGCATTATAACTACCGGGCGCTCCGCGAGGATTGAAAAATCCCGAAAATGAGCGTGCACAATTATTGCGCATGCAACTAGCGGGATTACACTGCATATAGAGTAGAACTTGAAAGGCTTTAGGCCAGTAGGGGATTTCCCAACAGGAAGTGTTTTGAGACACAAGTAGCAAGTAATGTTTTTCAGCCAGAAAGTTGGGGTAATTAATAATTCATAAGCACCCTGTTTGAATAGTACCCTGCGGGAAACACTGCAATTAAACGAGGAGATTGGCAATCACTATGCTAAAGGTAACAGTGTCAGGTAAAAAGGGGCATTGCTTCATTAAGTCATGGTTTACTGTTTTCAGTTGTTTCATGGTCTAGTCCAACTCCTAGCCCTGTTCCCTTATAGCATACTTACTGTGTGTTTAACCATTGTATCGTGTACTGTGAATTGTTCCTTCTTCTGTTTTGTTTGAAGAACCTAAAAACGAAGCGGTTGGTGCATTGATGATAGGCCATTTTACACATGTGCCCATGTAACTGTCATGTCTATTACGTGGTGTTTTGTGTCCCACTCTACTCAGATATCAGAGGCCCACTACAAGGGGTGTCTGTAAGCAGGGCTGTGTGTGAGTGGCTCCAATGCAGAGGTGATGCCAGCTCAGTGGGAGTACCAGGTTGGACCTTGTCCAGGGATCGCCATGGGAGATGAACTATGGGTCTCCAGGTCGGTACATACTCCAGTGTTATGTATAACGGTAAAACTAGAGAGATTTCAAAGGAACTCGTATACCCAGCGTGCCCGATGTGCGTATGTACCCTTTCGTGTCTTAATCTTGTCTTGAGGTATGTTTGACAGCTCAAAATGTACACCCTAGTTGTGAGGAAGGCCTGGGAACTAGGGTTCACCCTTGCCTTGTACTGTGCTGTAGACTTTGTGCTCAGTTGTCCAAAGTCCCACACAAGGCAGCTTTTATACTTTGTGTTGCTTGCTTCACAGACTGTCTGTAGATTTATGTGCAAGCCTCACATACCTTTATTGTTTTAGCCCCAACATCTTATTAAGGACAAACACTGTCACCACAAAAATATGTGTAGCTACATATCAAAGATCTCACTTCATTCACTGTATGTGGCTGCAGGTACATCTTGCACCGTGTGGCGGAGGATTTCGGAGTGATAGTGACACTGGACCCCAAACCCATGCCGGGAGACTGGAACGGGGCAGGAGGCCACTGCAACTTCAGCACCTCCAGAATCGGCTAGGATTGCTCGTGCAGATACGGTCATTGTGTGCTTGCTCCCACTCGCCAAAAATGCATTCACCTACTATTATAGTAATTATTATACAGAATCCACAATTTTACATTACCTAGTAGTCATTGGTATGATAGTGACAATGTCAACTTCCCCTCCTCTCCCACATGATGTGTGTGTGTGTGTGCAGCTGGTCGAGGCTACCTTGAGGACAGACGGCCGTCCAGTAACAGTGATCCCTACCTGGTGTGTGAGGCTCTGGTCCGTACTGCAGTCCTGGATGACTGGATTGACTTTGACTGGACTACATGCCCTCTAACCCTTGACTGACTTTGTCTCTACTAGCTGCCACTGATTGTACACCAACTGAAATCTCTGGTTTACTTTTTCACCATTAGTTCTTTATGTCGTTGAGGTGGCAAGTAGCTAACGACATAATAGCACCGTCATGAGAGTATGTTGCCAACTTATTGACAGGGCTTTTTGGCTGTGGAGAAGAGAGATGGAGAGAAGAAAGAGGAAGAGGGTACAATTGCATGCAAAATCCAACAGTATCTGAATATATCCTCCAACTCCTAAAAGCGTATATAGCTATAGGAGTTCTTTGAGCCAATCGAAGGTGAAGACGTCACATCATCCAAATTCAGTTGCGTACTATACCTTTACACATGTACGAAACAGACCCTCCAGCTACTCTATATATGACAGTATGCTGCAGTGGGCTTGACTCTGCACAAAGCGGGCAACAGCGCGGGGGCAACAGCGCGCGCTCTAGCTGGTCAAAAGAGTGGGTGGAGTTACTATGGAGGTGGAGTATTATAAACAAGCCCTGCCCGTCGCCACCCTGCAGAGATTTGATCAGAGATTTTGCTGAGTAATGGCCGAAGGTAAAGGCCAATAATCTACAGTGGCCTTGATCGCTAACATAACCTTATCCAATGTACACAGCACCGACGACGGGTGGAGAGGTCCTCACTCCAAGCGATGCCGTCAAAGTATTGGAGGAGCTACTACCAGCACAGAACCAGTCCTTCGAACTGGGCCTGAAGCTGAATCTAGAGCCACATCAAGTTGAGGGCATCCATTCAACATACTCCGAGCCAGCAAAGCGCCTCCTCCGAGTCGTCATGACGTTCCTGAACCAAGTAGAGCCCAGACCAACCTGGAGAGTCATTGCAGATGCTCTCAAAAGTCCTGCAGTCAATCTTCTTCAGCTAGCAATGGCTGTGGAGGCAGCTCACTTTCCTGACACTACACCACAGCTACCTGAAGCCAGTGGTAGAAGTGTTTGAGATTCTCTCTCTCTCTCTCTCTCTCTCTCTCTCTCTCTCAGCATACACGTAATAGGGGGGAAAGGGGGGAGGGGGTTGGTCTATAGTTTTCTGTTCCTGAAACACCAAATGTTGAAGGAGTTGATGAGGGCTGCTCTCGTTACCCATCGCAGTAGTTGCTTCAACTCCTCCTCTGCCACTCCTAGCATGTCCTCTCTCTCTCTCTCTCTCTCTCTCTCTCTCTCTCTCTCTCTCTCTCTCTCTCTCTCTCTCTCTCTCTCTCTCTCTCTCTCTGTGTGTGTTTCAGTCTCTTCCTCTCAGAGTCTGGCCACCTCCTCTCAACCAGGCCTCTCCTCACCTCTCCATGGTAATGACTCACCCAGGTTTTAGCATTATTGTTTGGGTTCCCCACGAACAGTTTCCACAGGTTCTGGAGCCTCACCACTCACTGAAGTGGAGTATCAGCCAGACTTACCACAACCAAGTTAGTCCACAACTGTAGCTGTTAAAAGTGTAGCAGATAAAATGTATTGCTCGATTCTCTGCCAGTCACATCACAGTCATGCTTTTTGATGACATGCGTCATTTGGCTACATAAATACTAGCCAACATACTGCTATAAGCTTACTCAAGTGTCAATCTTTCGTTAGTAGTAGAATGTTTTACCTCTCAAAAGTTTAGCTTGTGCCACTGCCATTGGACCCAGCAATTATGTTAATGTCCATGCAAGTAAGCATGCAGTTGAACCACACCCACTCAAAACTGTTTTAAATGTTTTTGTTATAGTAGTAATGAATAAAGTTAGCATGCCTTATACATTCTGGAAACAATGAATCTCATTAGAGTGGCTGTGTACATTGTGTACAATATGAGTGTATAACCCCGTATTCCTTCATCTCTAGCAACTGGGGATACAGTGACTGAACTCCAGCATCGACCAGAGTCACCTCAGCCTAGTACGTATGCTCCACACCTGTCTGGGATATTGCCACTGATCCATAACTCTATGTGACCATGGTCTGTCCAACAGGTCCAATGACCACTCAGTATGTCCAGGCCAAGATTAGAAGGTTTGAGAAGAGGTTCAATGACCTGAAGAAGGCTGCCAGGGGGTGCCTTGAGAGACGCAAGATTTCTGTCAAGCAAGTTGTGGATGCTCTCACATCAATGCCTGCAGATGACATTGAGGAACACGAACTGTTTCTGAAAGACAATCTGAGCGATCTCTACCAGTCTTTTGACATTTCAGAGCTGATTGGAAAGTTGAGCCTACTGCAGTGGAACTACCTGTCCTACCAGTTGCTGGACTATCTGATCAAGGAGTTTGGTTTGGGGGTGGGGAGGGAGATGGAGGCCTACAAGCTAGATCTGCAGAGGTTCCGCCAGAAGACACCACTAGCTCTGTTCTGTCAGTCTCAGAAGAGGAGGAGAAGGAAGCCGTCTGAGGAATTCAAGGAGATGGTCGCCGAGTTTGACTGGCCACACGAAGTTACACTGGAAGTTGTGGAGCAGTTTCGACAAGAGTATGCCTATCACTACAAGCTTCGAGACTGTGCCATGATAGTAGCTGAGATCCGTCCCGGCTCTTTCATCATCACCTGGTTCATACCAGAGTCCATTGTCAAGAAACTGAGAGAAAACATACCTCACCACATCCTCAAGAAGTATACTGCCGTTAGCCTTGAAATTGCAGGAGTCAAAGTTTATCCACCTCCTCAGGTGAGATTTTTTGTTGTAACTCCTTGCTATCTCCATGTATATCTTTAACTGTACAGCAGAAGTCAGCAGCAGTCTCGTCACCTTGTCCTGGACCTTCAGCTGGTGGTGCCGCTGCTTCTGTTGAGAAATCACCTCCTCAGTATGTTACTATATCCTTTGTTGCATGGTGAACTCCATTACCACTATACCATCCATCCAGATCCAAGACAGAGGAGTTCCATCTCTCACCAGAAGAGGATTACCCCTTCGTGGAGAAGCCATCAGAGGATTTCTTCTGTCCGGTGACATTGGGTCTACTGCTCCAGCCTCAGCTCACGTCATGCTGTGGTAAACATCTCTCAGAGGAGTCTGCCACCAGAATACAGAGAGATGGAGGACCATGTCCACTCTGCAAGTCTCCTGACTGGAGTACCGTTCTGAACAAACACCTCAGTCGACAAGTGAAGGAGCTTCATGTGTTCTGTCGTCACAAGGAGAAATGCTGTTGGTGGAAAGGAGAGTTGTCTGACTTTATACAACATGTCCAGTCTTGCAAGTTCAGGTATTGTTATGTCAATAACTTTTTGAAAACTTTTAGTAGTACCTTTCCCTATACAGATATCTACAAGTCTCTACCAAGGTTTGTACAACAGGAAGTTGCTATTTTTCCACTAAACCTCTTTCTATGTACATTTTATCCAATATTCATCTCGTCCTCTTTCCATCCATCATTCTGTATCTCCCTCTCCTCAGGGAAGAACAGAGCTCCACGATGCTGCTGAGAGAGGAGATGTGGAGGCAGTTGAGAGACTCCTCTCCACTTCTGTCAATATCAACTCCAGGACTGAGAATGTGAGGCTCTCTACTAGTGAATGTGTAGTCTCATTTCTGACTCAGTTCATTGACTGCTGCTTCACTGGTCTCTGTATCCCCACCACTTGCAGAAAGGACACACTGCTCTACTGTTAGCCTCTTACCTAGGTCATGTTGAGGTTGTATGTCTCTGGCTCAAGGCTGGGGCTGCAGTCTTCATTCCTGACAAGGTTTGGGGACCATGTAATGTTGTACTGTATTGTTGCCTGTTCCAATTGTCTGTACATACACAGTGTCGCAGGACTCCACTGTACTGGGCTTCAATCAGAGGTCACAGAGCAGTAGTTGAGCTACTGCTAGAGAATGGGGCTGATGTCAGCATATGCAGTGAGGTATATATTTTATACCATGATAGTCAGAGACCTCTCAGTATTATACAGTCTTAGCCTATAGTGAGAAGTGTAGACTATAGACTTGTGAACATTGTATGAGGAGGAGACCTGACTGAGATGGTTGTCAGGTCTCCTAGTGTCCAGGGAGGGAGATGAGTGGTCAGTGGTGAATCAGGAATGTCTCATTAGTTCTCTCTCACTGTACAGAATGGTCTCAGTCCACTCTATGTTGCCAGTCAAGAGGGATACTCTGAGGTGGTGGATGTTCTGGTGAAAGCAGGAGCTGATGTCAACCAGGCTGGGACCAAGGTATGTGACCATATCGGTTATTTACAACATCATTGTCTTGTCACATGAAGCTTGAAATTAGTTCACATAAAGTTAGTTTTGCAAATCCTGCTCCAATATGATAGCTAAACAGTTTTATGATCCCTGACAAGAAAGTGTGATGTTATGCTGATTGCCTTATCCTGACTGGCTGTCTGCTAACACGCAGGCCAATGCTGACTTTTACAGAATTACCAATTTACAGCAGCATACACATTAGTAGAGAGAAACCGAGACATGAGAGCTAGCGGCCAGTCACCAGCTCCACACACACACACACACATGATGATCATGACCCGACTGAGTTATCAGACAGACCAGTTTTACAGAACAGAAAAACGCATGCTACATGATTACACAACTGAACGTAACAGTAATACAGTACACATAATACTATAACGTGACCTAAGCGATAACGACATAATACAACCTGAGTGAATGACACATATACACATTCATACATAGGAGTTCACCACAGCTACACACAAACCAGTTAGCATGAACCTCTTTCACACGAACACAAGCCAAATAACGTAACATGCCAATGAACTGGTCCTTTTCCAGCACCAGATGTAGTGCGAAGGGCAAAAGACTGATGCTGGCTTCAACAGTAGGAAAAAATTGGGGAATCTAGGTTGTCCTTCTTCCACCCTGTCCTTGACCGTCCTTGTGGTTAGATAAAACCTGTTTAGTAGGAAAAAAATGTATGGCATTACTTCACAGTCAACATGACATATTCATTTGTTGGTTTGAATAAAATTAATGTGGTGATTCAATTGACCACTTGTCTTTCCATGTAGGAGCCATGCAGTGTTCCTCTGGGGGTAGCTGCTGAGCATGGACATACTGAGACAGTTCAGAGACTGTTGGAGGCAGGAGCCAACGTCAATCACAAGAACAAGGTTATGGATAGCCGTGTTCCCAGGCTCACGTGCAGTAGTCTATTGAGCTCATAATTGGTGAGCCAAGTGAGCCTACTTTTGAATCCAGCTTTCATACAGTATGTAATGAAAACAAGGAAGCTACTGTCACACGTACTGTAAAGTTTTACTTAACTTCAAATGGACGAAATGGAGTTAAAATATGCAATCTTCGCGTGTTGCACTTGTGTGTAACTCTCGCATTAACTCCCCACATTCATGTTAATATTGTTATAAATTGGACTGACAATTTTTGTTCTCACCTCACACCATGTCCCATGTCCAGTGTTCTGTTGTATATTCTCTACAGAATGGTGATACTCCAGTCAACATTGCGTCCTGGAAGGGTCATACAGCTGTAGTTAAACTGCTGATAGAGAATGGAGCTGACATCAGTATCTGTGATAAGGTATTGTACAGTTGTTACACTCTCTGTTGCTGGTTAAGTAAAACTGCAAACTAGTTGTTTCGGACACTCTCATGTCTCATCTGTTGACCTATAATACTCCTGTCGATTGCTGTGGAATAAAATTTTCAAGCCAACAGTGTAATAATAAAAATGGTTGGTGAGTAATTGTAGGATTATTGTGCAATGGCTGAGACCAGAGCCATAACTAGCCTCATACAGATTGTGTACTCAGCGCTGTCTGGTTGTCAATGGAGTAGTGAGGCTGAGGCTAGCCATAAAAATGTGGGAAGTTTCATACAAGGCGGCCATGGATGTAACATGATATCTGCACAAGCTTCAGAGCTGTTTAATGTACCCCAGTCAAGGGAATGTAACAACTTTGCTAACTGTTTGTCATGGGCTTACTTTCCACACCCTCCAGTTGTCTGAAATTAGTGCATTGATTTGTAGGCAATGGCTAACAAATAGCCATGCATGTCAGCAAACACTGTTGGTATGTAATTACATGTTCCAGACTGGAAGTAAACCCCACTTCCTACTCTCTCACTGTACAGATTGGTGGCAGTCCACTCTATGCTGCCAGTCAAGAGGGACACTCTGATGTAGTGGACATTCTGCTGGAGGCTGGTGCTGATGTCCACCAGGCCACCACCGAGGTATGATACACAGTAGTTCTAGAGTTGGTCAGCTCATTTGTCCATCAACCATGGTGGCAGTGGTGTAGCCGAGAGCTGTGACTAGACCTCAACACTGAGATTGGTATATACTGTCAAGCACTTTTGTTTGTGCAACACATGTCACTAAAACGTGTGTAAACCTGCGACGCAATTTGGATAATACACATGTGCATGCAAGAATTTATGTGTATATGTATGTGTCTGATCCCACAATAATGGTCTGGTTTCCCGTTGTCTCACTTTACTATCTGCTACGTATGTATAATACACAGTGTATCATTTTAGGAAACACTACATCCCATACTCACCCTTCATACACAATTTACACGTTTTTCTCTTGGTTATTCTGATCAACACAACGCAGCATTCTTACTCTACATCCTCGCAGGATTTTTTCTTTTTTTATAGCTCCATTTGCACGTCTGTGTTCTGACACATTGTATTGTCTGAGCATTGGTTAGTGTCGTGTCTCATTCCCTGATCCTCTGAAACCACACTCTGAGGTGTGTGGTCCTCACTGACCTGCCAATGCTGAACTCAACAATTCACAGTTTCTCTCTCTCATCAGAATGGTGATGTTCCTCTGGGGATAGCTGCCCAGAAGGGACATACTGAGACAGTTCAGAGACTGTTGGAGGCAGGAGCCAACGTCAACCACCAGAACAAGGTGGAGGTTTTTGGTTGTCAAAATCAACACACTTTTTCCTACGTGCATCTATGCGCACAAGTGCAAGTTTTGTGTGGTTGATGTCATGCGGAAAGTCAGGGTCTGAGTGATTGTTTGACAAATCCTTCCAAAACAACTTGTAGTTTCCCAGGGATACATATTTCAGTTACCGGGCTCCATTACTCCCAGGGTTTAGTCCCTGTGATTGGACTCCGGGCAGGAGGGTGTGGTAACACCCTCCAAGCACTCTGTGGGTAATTAGATGGGAGGAGCCATGTGTAGGGTGGCAAAGTATTATAATGGTAGCCCAGACAACAGCTACTCAGGAATTGTGCCACTGTCGCTTTTCTTTGCAACAAACTAGTTTACTATAATGCTACACTAGATAATGATCCAATGCTTGTAATGTTACAAGTGGAAAAATCATTTCTTCAAAATGAAGGGGGATATAGGGATGGCTTGAAGCACCAAAAAGGAAGAAACAAGGGGTCATTACACAGCAAAGATGCACAAGGCTACATGACACCATCCCTATATCTTTGACTCATATTAAACTTTACTTGAGAACAATAATACAAAGATATAGGGATGGTGTCATGCAGCCTTGTGCATCTTTGCTGTGTAATGACCCCTTGTTTCTTCCTTTTTGGTGCTTCAAGCCATCCCTATATCCCCCTTCATTTTGAAGAAATGATTTTTCCACTTGTTTCCACTATTTTTCGACAACACTGCATTTTAAGTCACTCTTATGTTCATGGGTGTTGTAGAGATAACTGTTGAAAGCTGAAGCTAATAGGCTGCCCCTACCTGAAGCAGGGTGTATGCGTAGTGTCTCCAACAACGATGGTGGCACATATGGTGGGGTGGTTTGTGGTTTCATAGGCAGGCTTCAGTAATCAGACTACAATGATAGGGGGACAAACAATGAAGGCGCTGGGCAAGGCCCGCGTAACACGGCGCACACTGCCAAGTAGCTCCTCGTTCAAATCAGCAGCAAAACGCAAGATAGCCAGTTAAAAATGTGTATACTGACTTACAGAAGGCACTGGGAGGTAAGAGTTCCTCTGCAGGCATCCTGGCTTAGTCTGGTTCACGCATGCTAGTAATGCGCGCGCATGGTATTGGTTGGGGAAACGCCCTCCTCGGCGCATGCGGCTCACTGATGCTGAGTTAGCAGAAAATGGCGTTGTCCAGTGACTACCGTGGAAGAGCTCAACGATCTACCGTAGTGACTTGCGGCAAGAAACAAGCGATCGCTTGACATGCGTGCACACCTCCAGAAAATTTGGAGACGTTCTGTGAAAAAATAAACGCTTCAACTGCTTCCGGTAAGGAGCTATCGGGTCTGAAGAAGAAGAAGATGAAGAATATTATGACAAGTGGAAAAATCATTTCTTCAAAATGAAAGGGGGATATAGGGATGGTTTGAAGCACCAAAAAGGAAGAAACAAGGGGTTATTACACAGCAAAGATGCACAAAGCTACATGACACCATCCCTATATCTTTGTCTGATATTAAAACTTTACTTCAAGGTAAACTGTTGCAGAGTGGAAATGACGGAGACGTCAAGCGCGGCTCTTTCCCAATTAGGGAGGAAAATGTCAGCAGGGCGAGATTGGTTGTGAACAATAACACAAAGATATAGGGATGGTGTCATGTAGCTTTGTGCATCTTTGCTGTGTAATAACCCCTTGTTTCTTCCTTTTTGGTGCTTCAAACCATCCCTATATCCCCCTTTCATTTTGAAGAAATGATTTTCCCACTTGTTTCCACTATTTTTCACGCCTTATGACAACACTGCATTTTCAGTCACTCTGATGTTCATGGGTGTTGTAGAGATAACTGTTGAAAGCAGAAGTTAATGGGCTGCTCCTACCTGAAGCAGGGTGTATGCGTAGTGTCTCCAACAAGGATGCAATTAGATTGTGGCACATATGGTGGGGTGGTTTCATAGGCAGGCTTCAGTAATCAGACTACAATGATAGCTATAACCTGGGGGACAAAGAATGAAGGCGCTGTGCAAGGCCCGCGTAACACGGCGCACACTGCCAAGTTGCTCCTCGTGCAAATCAACAGCTAAACGCAAGCTAGCCAGTTAAAATGTGTATACTGACTTACAGAAGGCACTGGAGGATAAGAATTCCTCTGCAGGCTAGGCATCCTGGCTTAGTCTCGTGCACCAGGTTCACGCACGAAATGCGCGCGCACCGCATTGGGGAAACGCCCTCCTCGGCGCATGCGGCTCACTGATGCTGAGTTAGCAGCAAATGGCGTTGTTCAGTGACTACCGTGGAAGAGCTCAATGATCTACCGTAGTGACTTGCGGCAAGAAACAAGCGATCGCTTGATATGCGTGCACACCTCCGGAAAATTTGGAGACGTTCTGTGAAAAAACCAACGCTTCAACTGCTTCCGGTAAGGAGCTAGCGGGTCTGAAGAAGAAGATGAAGAATATGATGATGATGATGATGATGACACGAAAATCGCGAAATCGCGTAAGTGCGAATTCTCTGGTGGGGAACTGAGGGCACGTAGGAAGTCTTGGGGCATATGTATGGCTAGGTATTGGCCTCTAGACTATTGCTAGTGATTTTGAAGCCATGGTGAGTCATTCTCGCTGAGTTTTGAGGCGTTTTGTACGCGGATCACGTGAGATTTCACTCGTGTCATCCCTATATAGAGCGTCTACCGACGCTCTGATGATGACACGAAAATCGCGAAATCGCGTAAGAGCGAATTCTCTCGTGGGGAACTGAGGGCACGTAGGAAGTCTTGGGGCATATGTATAGCTAGGTATTGGCCTCTAGACTATTGCTAGTGATTTTTAAGCCATGGTGAGTCATTCTCACTTAGTTTTGAGGCGTTTTGTACGCGGATCACGTGAGATTTCACTCGTCTTATCCCTATATAGAGCGTCTACCGACGCTCTGATAAACAGTTCATAATTATTAGCTATGATGGTCTCTATTATAATATCAACACAGAGTGGAGGCACAGCCTTGCTCTATGCAGGATGGGATGGTCACTCAGAGGTGGTGAAACTACTGCTAGGAGCTGGAGCCAGAGACTTTCCTGATAAGGTAGACCACTGAGTCAGTATGATGTGTAGGAAGAGTGTCCTCATGAACCACAGGGTGTACATAGACACAAGTGAGTGTCAAACCTATTCTAAGACTTTTTAGGGAAGAGAGCTACCCTGGGTGGGACTTGAACCAACGACACTCTGTTCTCTGGCAATGGGGCAGCTCAGCAGGCACACAGTAAAAAATGTTTAGTTAAAATAAGTATAAATATTTAGTGACACTGAGGTAACAGGCATTTTCTTGTTTTGACTAGATTTAAAGTGTAGTTAAAATAAAGTGTGTCCATTTCTTTAAGATAACAAAAATTATCTTGTCATTTTGAACTGGCTTATCAGCTCTTAAATTAACAAATTTATTAGTTCTTATTTTAACAGTGTAAGGTTTTGTTGAAACAAGGGAATTTAATTATGGTGTAATTGCTTTTAATATGATGTTTGTTTTAACATTTTTATAATAAGACTTTTAAAACTTTTGTGACTGTTAATGTGCATATTTATGTAGTGTTTCAACAGCAAACATAATTCCTTTTACATGGAGAAAAAGGGAGATTTTGCAATATTAATAAGACTTTTAAAACTTCTGTGACTGCTAATATGCGTTTTTATGTATTGTTTCAATAGCAAATAATTATACTTCTTTCTACATTGAGAAAAATGGAGATTTAACAACACTTTTTATAGTTAATGCTAAAAATTATATTTTGAATTGAAGAAACGTGTTAAAATAAAACAAATCTCTTGAAATAAAAAACATGTTCTGTTTTGAAAAATAATATCTTGTAATGATAAATGAAATTGCAGTTAAATCTTCATACTTTCTGTCAAAACAATAAAATTTTTTTACTGTGCAGTGCTTAACCAAACGTTAATAGTGTTTATGAAGACAAATGCACATTGTTTTTACGAAAGCACAGTTTACCATTGCACGCAATTAAGAGATGCGGCACTGTTCATGCAATATCACTATAAGGGGCTGGGTATATACTACCAAACAGTTCTCTTCTGTTTGCCAATCATAGTAATGGGAGGTGTCTTCATGCATATAAATCTGACACATGTCTAATGGACGTCTATTTGTCTCTACAGGATGGAGACACTGCTCTGAGTATGGCCAGAGCCAACAACCACAACGATGTGGTACAGTATCTACTGCAACACAAGCCAAAGTGAAAAGTAGACACTCTAGCTAGCACTGTTAGAAGCACATACACTGCATATCTTTTACATAAGATATTTATGTTCATATTTGACTCTTTAGAATTGTGTTTAAATTGGTATGTAGATGGAACATTTCATCACCTACCCCGTAGTCATGAAAGAACCTGATGCCAATGGCTAATGCATGCACAGAACTGGTTTCACAAGAGCATGGGGAAAAGATTAATATTTGTTTATCATCTCAGAAGGAAATTTAGCTGGTGGAAATCTCTCAACACCTGTGTGTAGCTATAAGCTGAAACACATTCAACTACTGTAGAATGTCTTTCCTTGCCTTTAGCCAAAACTTCCAATCAATACAGCAAAACTGCATGCCTATTTTTGTCATCATGTCTTTTGAAAACAGCATCCATTTTGATCCAAACTGTAAGGACTGTAGACACAGGATTGGGGTCGGTAAAAATGGAGTTTCAAACCCTGTTATGAATATCGTCAAATGACTACTATTGTTTTCGATTCAGAGTTCCACAAGTTGTGACTCACTTACAATCTCTCAGTGGAGATAAAACAGGTTGATGTTGATGCTACAAACAGCACAATACTAGGGACCATATACCCCGACAGTGATGACCAAACAACTGGTAAATCAGTTGGCTTCAATCAGGACAACACTGTCTGTTTGCCTACATCGTGTATATATAACAGCAATAATTACAAGTAAATAAAAAATTCTGTAGGGATGCCATAAAAAGCAAGGAAACAAGACAGGGATGACCTGGCATGTGATGCAGTAGTACAATGGAATGATTGTTACATCTTCAAACTGACATTCCTTATATACTCATGTAAATTTTACTCCACAAAAGCCCTATATTGTTGCCAGTCTTACTCATGACATGAGTTTTGAATAGTGTAGTGTGAAGACTGGCAAACGAATTCTGTAGAGAAAGCAGCATCGTAAAACCGGTTAGTTCATCAAACATTGATGTAAACACAGTCACGATTCAAAAACTGAGGACCTGTCAGAGAGGGCATTTGCTACCAGTCTTACGTGCATAGGAAACAAGTCATAGCTGCACATCGTACGATAGAGATCACTCGTGCTTTGTGACAATATAGGGCTTGTGTGGAGTAGAATTTACATGAGCAAGAAATATCAGTTTGAAGAGGTAACAATTATCCCATTGTACTACTGTATCACATGCCCAGGTCATCCCTGTCTTGTCTCCTTGCTTTTTATGGCATCCCTATATTCCACACTTTTTAATTCGCAGAATTTTTTATTTACTTGTCTCCTTTCCTTTTTTTACGGCATGCACATACATGCATTGGGGCATACTGTCCATATAAAAAGTAACACGTATTTATTGCCTCGGTCTGTTAGTCGTCATCTCCATTTTTATTTCACTTCCAAGTAGATAAGTGTACAAAGTTATAGGAAAAACAGCACTTAATTGCCTGACGCTGTTTGTTGTTGTTGTTTACAAACTTGTAATTCATGTTTCAATGAACTCTTATCATAGTAAATCAGTGTACCAAGTTTCATTGTTAGAGGACCCACAATAAGCAAGTTACAGGCACAAACCTCATTTACAAGTATTTATTGCCTGAGGCTCTTTGTTGTTGTTTAGAAACTTGCAATTTATGTTTCGATGAACTCTCATCGTTGTAAATCAGTGTACTAAGTTTCGTTGTTAGAGGACCCACAACATGCATTATAGGCACAAACATCATTCTATTGCCTGAGGCTCTTTGTTGTTGTTTAGAAACTTGCAATTTATGTTTCGATGAACTCTCATCGTTGTAAATCAGTGTACTAAGTTTCGTTGTTAGAGGACCCACAACATGCATTATAGGCACAAACATCATTCTATTGCCTGAGGCTGTTTGTTGTTGTTTACAAACTTGTAATGTTTACATTTTGATACTAATGATGGATTGCATATGTGTACAAAGTTATATCACTCTGGGTATTAGCTTTACCCAGTTAGCACACTTTATTTGTCTCTATCATAATGTATTGCCTGGGGCTATTTGTTGGTAAACAAAATTGTTTACGAAGAAATAAAAATGCTCTTGCACGACCTGTCATGGATTCCAATATCTGTGCAAAGTTTCATATCCATATCTTACCCGGTTTTTGAGATACGCTTGTCTAAACTAAACTGAACAACAACAACAACAACAACAACAAGAAAATTGAAAAGTGACCAATTATGCGATTTAATTTCTTGGATACATGCTCTTTGTGCGCACCTTTTTTAAGCCCCCAACCCGTTCCTCGAAGTTCCGCTTAAGCCTTTCTTATCTTTCTCCGTAACTCCCTCTCGCCCGGGACATCCGCGACTTTCCTCTTTTCTTATTTCTTGGTTACATTCATACATTTGTGCCCTTTTCTTCCTTTTTATTCCTCCAGTCCCTTTCCCCACCTCCATCCCCGCCCCTTTCATTCACTTGTTCTCTTCACTCTTCCTTTTTACCTTTCTTGCCGTTCCAGAGAGGAAAGAAGGTATGCTGGAGGAGGGCATGCATGTGTTTTTTCCTATCGCACCGTTTTCCTTTCATTTTTCACCAATCGCGCGCCTCAGCTCCATACCTCCTCCAATCCCCTCTCTTCTTCCATCACCTCTCCCCTCCCCCTCCCCCCCCCCCCTGTTCCCCTCCCACCCCCCCCCGCCCCTCTCATACCTCTCCCTTTTTCTGCCCCTTAGTCATCACTAGCATACATCCCCCATCCCCCCATCATCTCCCCCCCAGTTCTCTCAGCCACACCACGCCTCTTTCTCCTCAACCGAGCTTTATCCCCCCCTCTTGTGCCTCCCTTTCCCTCGTCCCCACCCTTTCCCCCCCGTTCCCCTCTTCCCCCCCTCTCCCCCCCCTCTTGCTGACCCCCTCATTTCCCCGTTCTACATTCCTCCTCACTTCCCTTGTCCTCAGTCTCTTACCCCCGGTGTACGACTGTTTCCTGGACAGTGACTCAATTCAACGCATCTATCCGCCTCTTTTCTTCGTCCCCCACCTCGCCTGGCCGCGCCACCTGCCTTCTGTTGTGTTCTTTTGTGTCTTCTTTCCGATGCGTTAGCGCCCACAGATTCACCCCCCCGTCTGCTTTTTTTTTCTACCTCTCATATGGATCCCGGCATGCACACTCCTCCATTTTTTCTTATTTTCTTCCCCCCCCCCCCCCCTATACCCTAGATTTTTTATTTTTTTTTTTGTCGTTCGTTCTCTTTAGAAACCATGAAAATCTCAAAGTATGGGCCTAATGCAGGACACTGTGTCTCTTATCAGC